TTCTGATTTATATAATACTGAATATTCTCCACAACAATACAGCACTACGGTAAATTTCTTTGATCACTTATCACTCTCTTAAATATCTGATGAACAGAGAATAGCTCTAAATGCCCCTATTTCAAGGGAGGAAGCCTTAATGGCTCTACGTAGCTTACAGTCTGGCAAATCCCCAGGTCCAGACAGTCTGGTGTGCGAATTATATAAAGAGTTTCAGCATATTTTAATAGATCCCCTATTATCTATGTATGATTATTCGTTTATGACAAATACTTTGCTGCAATCACTTAGAGAGGCCAATATTTCCCTTATTTTAAAAAAAGGAAAAGATCCGGAACATATAGGCCGATATCTCTTTTGAATGTAGATTTTAAATTGCTTTCAAAGATTCTCGCACTGCGGTGGGAGAAAATACTTCCTTCTATCATTAATGAAGACCAAACGGGTTTCATTAAGGGTAGAAGTTCGAGTAACAATATTAGAAGGCTTCTAAATCTTATTGAGTTCTCTCATAAATGTGACATTGACACCCTCATTTTATCATTAGATGCGGAGAAGGCCTTCGATCGAGTGGAGTGGCCATATTTATTTTATAGTTTGGAAAGGTTCGGCCTTGGTGATAATTTTATCCGATGGGTGCATTTACTGTATTCTGCTCCACTCGCAGCTGTTGTCACTAACGGCCATAGGTCTGACAATTTCCCTATGTTCCGCGGCACTAGGCAGGGCTGTCCCCTCTCACCGTTACTTTTTGCAATAGCGATAGAACCATTGGCTCAGGCGATTAGGGAGGGGGCGGCCGTGTCTGGTGTTTCGGTTGGTCTTAAACAGCATAAAATCTCCCTATATGCGGATGATATCCTGCTTTTTTTGTCGGACCTTGAATCCTCGGTGCCTGCTCTAGTAGATATTGTTAATTCATTTGCGAAGTTTTCAGGGTATAAAATACATTTTTCCAAATCTGTTGGTTTGCACCTAAGACAACCAAGTTCTAGTATAATTAATAAGACTTCCCTTCCATTCAAAGTGTCGGACTCTGGTTTTACATATTTAGGAATTAATATTACCCCTACAATTTCCCAATTAGCTAAAGTAAATTTTTTCCCTTTGCTTGATAAAATCCGCAACGACTTAATTAGATGGTCAGATCTCCCCCTTTCCTGGCTTGGAAGAATTTCTGTAGTTAAAATGAATATAATGCCCAGGCTTCTTTACCCATTACAGATGATAACAATTTTATTGCCGATTAAAAGGGTAAAGGAATTAACTGGATGGCTTAGTTCATTTATATGGAACAAGAGGAAACCAAGACTAAAATTTCCAAAGTTACAGTTTTCTAGTTCCAGGGGTTGGCTTGGGTCTGTCAAACATTAGAAAATACCAATTAGCCTGTCAGTTTAAATTAATTTTGGAATGGTTCAGAGAGGATCCTAAATCTACTTGGCTTGATTTAGAGGCTTCACAGTTATAATGTCCTTTACAAAATCTGTTATTTGTCAGAAGTTCTAAGGTAGTCAAAGCATTATGTGAGAACTCAATCGTGTTTAACACGTGGAAGGCCTGGTCTGTTATATGTAGGATTGAGGGCAGGGCTGGTTTGTCTTCCCTGCTGACCCCCATTAACAATAACCCCGAGTTTATCCCTAGCATTTCAGATTCTGGTTTTAAAATTTGGTATGATTATGGAATATGTAGACTTGGTGATCTGTTCAATGATGGCTCTCTATTATCTTTTGAAGACTTGGTTACAAAATACAAATTACCAAGATAACATTTTTTCAGATTTCTCCAAATCAGGGATTATATTTTTAGAAGTACTACTCTTGTCACCAACCCATCCATGTCAACCATTGAGAAGTTTCTCTTAAATCCCCCGCTGAGTAAGCAGATCTCATGCTTGTATAATGTCCTTTGCTGTTATGATGTGGTAAACACACAAGACCTTAGAAGACTGTGGGAGGGGGAGTTGCAATTGATCATAACAGAGGAGGATTGGGATCAGGTATGGAGTTAGGCGAGTAAGATCTCCGTTTGTAACAGGGTCAGAGCTATTCAGCTCAGGATTGTGCATAGATTGCACATCACACCACTCCTGAGAAGTAGGTTTAACCCAAGTAATTCTCCATTATGTCTTAAATGTAAGGTGGAAGTGATAGATTACACCCATTGCTTCTGGGAATGTTCAGTTATTAGAGCTTACTGGTCAAAAGTTGTTCGATATATGAGTCAAATATTTGGATTAAGGCTACAGCTAGATCCCCTGTCTTTAATTTTAGGTCTCCCAATTAGATATCTGTCAAATAAATTAGCTAAACGGCTATTTGATATCCTAGCTTTCGCTGCTAGGAAGAATATACTGTTATCCAGGATCAGTGATAAACCCCCTTCCTTGAAGTGATGGCACAAGATTGTCAGAGAAATTATTCCATTAGAATTCTTAACATGTGTTATTCATTTGTCAACTGAAGATTTTCATCAAGTCTGGACTCCGTATCTAGATTGTATTGATGTTTCTTTGAGTAATATTTTAAAGTATGGTATAGTATAATGCTCCTGTATGTCCCCTTTTTTTTCCTTTTTTTTCTGTCTTAATTGTAATGGCTGGGCTTTGTTATTTGTTTTTAATTTAGGTTGTAAATTGTTAAAAATGTTGATTAAAAAGATGCAATAAAAATAAA